CGAGCAGAAGACGAATTCGGCACAACCCTAGACAGAGTAAAGGTCTAGTGGGGTAAGTCAGACCTCCACTGGTTTTAAAGCTATCACTTTTGCGTGAAAGTGTAATAGCAGGCCTTTTATAATGTTAGGAGCCGAAGGTATGCAAAAGTGAGTTTTAAAACCAGTGCCGAGCGAGCCCAAATTCAAACAAAGTAATTTCACAATGAAAAAATTTCCTATTGTGCATGTACTTCAGCCGGGGCAAATTTTTGTCGATGTCAAAGTTTGGGGGGGGGGGGGTATTTTCAGAATTAATCTTCTAGAAGAGAACTTAAGCATCAAGTAGATGCTTTAGGGTTTTGAAAAACGTTTTTCTTTGAAACAATCAGCATATACTACAGTACTTGCATTAACACTGCCCCCCTTTCTGATTTGGAACTAAAAAAACTCGTTAAAACTAACACTTTCTTGAAGTTTTTTTTACATTTTGGCTTTTGTTTCCGAATTGTTGACTTTATTTGGTTATTTTAGAAATCGCTATCGCCAATATTTGTAAACAGATTTCAAAAAATCAAAGTTTTTTGAAATAAACAGTTTAATATCTACAACTTTTGTACAAAGCTTTTTTACAAACAATTTACAACAAAATGGCGGTCATTTTAAATTAAATTTTTAAATTTTGGAAATTGAAATTTAATTGTGCTAATCAATTTTCAAAATTTAAAATGACGCCATTAGGTATGTTTTGTAAATTTTTTGTAAAAAATTGTGATACAAAAGTTTTCGATACTAATAATGGCGATATAGAGATTTGACGAGTTTTATAACACATATTGGGTTGTCCACTTTGAGTAGAAACACCCTGTATATTGCTCTTAGGGTGGTGTTAAACGTATCATTTCACGGAAATCTCGAAGTCGAATTGCTATACAAAACTGCCAGAAATTCTATCAAACCGAATCAAATAAAAAAACTAGTGAATTTACAAAATGACGATAGAGGGCATTTAGATACGATTATTCTCTGGTTTGGGAAAGTATTACTCTATGAAAATGAGAAAATAACAGGTAAATGAAATGCAAAAGGAAGTTGATTGTCAACTAGTATCGAAAATGATTGCTAGGTACTCGCTCACAATGCCATAGTCTGCTGCAAACATAATGGAAGCCTTGTAAAAGCGAAGAACAATATACGAAGAAGACGGAACAGATGATTGATTCACTGTAAACATTTAACAAGTTGCGAGTTTCTCAAAGTCTTTGTGCTCGAGTCACAATGAGACGTAAAGAATTCGAGAATTACCTACACGCGAGAAATAAAAACGTTACGTAGTTATTAAGGCATCCTAACGGATATTTGTAATCGACGAAGTAAAAGTGGTCTCTCGAGAAACAGGTATTTCCTTTCTGTCCGGTTTACCCCCCACGCTAAATTATGCACTCACGTGTACTTTTCTATTTTCGTTGGCGGACGGCTTTTGTGACCTGTACCGGTCACAATGCACCCCCAACTTGAACATTGATAATTTCTTAAACTGTATGAAGTATTCCTCGCTCGCCTTGACTTAAAAATGATCTCACCTTCTAACGGGCTAATGGAAAGTGTTTGTTTGATCATCATCGATGACTTCCAATATGTAGGGTGATCATCGGGTCATGTTTTACGAGATAGTTGAAGTCAAATGCGAAAAGAAACGACATTTTGCCATTTTTCTTCGTTTTTTCGTCTAGCCCAAACTGTAATTTGACTGTACTATATAGGTTTTTGGGGTCAAGGAACATAATGGAATTGAAAAAAATGAGATCGGATATGGTAGAAATGTGATTTATCATTTTTCGGCCGAATTGGCGCCAAATATTTGAATTGTTCTAACGACACCGAAAAACGTTGACTTACCCTATATTTACCGTTGGCAACTCTGGCAAAAAAAATCTACAAGCAGAGCCACCTACCTTTCAAGTCGAAACGATGAACGTTTCGCGGCACTTTTGAATTTGGATGGCAGTCGGCTCGATAGGGATGGCACGAATGAACTCCTACGTTGTGCAATTGGTTCTTGTATGTGTTGGGACGTGAGACATAATCGGGAAGGGAATTAAATAAAAGATAGAAATTTTGTGCGTAAGAATTGACAAGAACAAATAAATATATTACGCACACAACTAGACCATGACAGGGAAACCTTCTACGGGACAAAAACCCTGGCATAGGCCACAGAAATACATGAAATAAATCACCTACAGCAATAAAATGCAAGAGAAAATACACATAAATAAAACATCTCAAATTGTATGATAAAAATTTAGTACAAAAACACATCAAAATACCTGGTTTTTGTACATTTTCGGTCGGCGCCCGTCCTCGTTGCGTACCTTTGAGGCATTGTAGCTACGCCACTGGTGTCCACGTTACATTTTCCAGGGCGCGTAAAAAAACATCTTAAGTGAGTAGGTCTTTTGTTTTGCTCTAGTATAGTGGAGAGCGTTTGATTTACATCATAGCGGTGGGAAAACTAAGGCGAACGGGGGCCTCCAATGTGGCCCGCGTCGAATTGCAATTTTATACTACTATAATTAGTTACAAATATCTACACAAATAAATAATCAGAAACGGTTAATATTAAGAGTAAAACTATTGATTTCGACCACTAAAGGTCATCTTCAGGCCGAGCTATAATATGTGGATGTAAACAATTTTGTACAATTTTCACTAGAAAGAAGCTCGTGTTGTATTATAAGTCGCAATCGAAAATTGCCCAAAAAACACTTCAGAAATGACGACAAAATAAGAAAATTTAAAAAACTTAAAAAGACACTTTAAGTACAACAACAATTCCTTATTCCTGTGAATATAATTGGTCAACGGACTTAAATCGGTTACGTAAATGGAATGTAAACGTTACTTACCAGAAAAGTTTGCAATGGATTGAAAGGAGACCTCTAGTAACCAAACAAATAAAATAATACAACAAAATATTTAATTTTTATTATGCTTAATGATGCCTTTGCAAATTTTGAAATAACAATAGTATTTTGATCAGGTTTATTCTTCATTAATTAACAAACTCTTCAATTTTGAGTAGGTTCTCTTCATCACGTGCAAAACTAACCCAGAAACCCTCCTGGAAATCATCATCACTTCTTTCAAGACACTGGCTTGGTTTTGTCTTTGGAAATGTACAAACGGCGGCGCCCAGCTTTGGACATTTTCTCTGTGGAACGTTTATTTTAAAGGCGTCACTCCATTGTAATTACTTTATCCAGACAGGCACATTGCAAAGGGTTATCTTCCACTTCAAGAATTTTTAATTTACGTCGTATTACGTCCAGGGTCTCATAAGATATGTACGTTATGTTATTATTATTAACAGAAACAGCGACCAATTTCGAAGAGGCATAGAAATTAAAGTCAAAACATTTTAATTTGTTACCAGACAACTGCAAAATGGACAAATTTGTTAATCCTTTAAAGGCGTCTTTGTCGACGAACTCTATTTCATTGTCATAAAGCCATAGGTACTCAATAGATGGCAGGTTGATAAAGGCACCTCCCCGAATCTTACGCAGGCGATTCTGCCCCAAATTTATGGATTGAAGAACTGGCGTTTTATAAAACCAAAATTGGTCATAATTTTCCAATTGATTTTTGTAAAGATACAGTTGGGGAAGATCCAAAAAGGCCCCTTCTCTTATAATCACGATGCTGGTATTGCGAAAGTTGATCTCAATTTTGCTTGTAATTCCTTGAACTCTTTCATACATCCTATCAAAACCTTCTCCCAACGCGTGCTTCGTGTGCTTGCTCGCTTCTTTCAGGATAGGACAAAGGTTATGGGCAAAAAACCGATTTCCAAAGAAACAATAGCGACATGTAAGTCTGGATGTACTAGTCCAATTCAAAAAAATTCCCTTCCTGGAGGGGTATTCCAATTCCATACATTCTCCACCAAAATGTTTAGACCGTCACACAAGAGTGCGAAGGGCTGATTGCTTAGGGGGAGAACGTAGGGTTTGGTGTTGTACTGTATTGCAGCGAATTGTTTAATACTAAACTTGATCATGGCGATCCAGTTGTAAATTTCGCAATAATTTAACATTTAACCTCGCATTTAACATACTTTGTGACTATGGGATAAACCCAGGGTAAAAAAGGAAGGTTGTACACTGCCTTTTTTTGAGGCACGAAGAAAAAATTGTCTCAGATCGACCGGGAAAAAAAGATTTTCTTATAGAATGAGGTCTGTAGAATCCATAATTTCAAACAGTTCCAAGATTGGGCTTCTAGTTCGAAAGTTATAGCCCTTTGAATTTTCTTTCGAAATTGGTTTCTAGTCTATAACTTTTGATTCCCAAAATTAGAAAATGGCGGTTTTCGAGATATTGACATCAACATCCTTATTTTAAATGGACATCATATTGGATTTTTACGTCACTCGATATTGAAAAAAATTACAAAACCAGTGGTACTAAACACTTAGTATTTTATTTGGAAATCAACCTTGTTTTTTTTGCATTGATGTTTGCAATGTATTTCTTATGGAAATAATTCCATGGCCGTGTCGATGGTGACTATGCGAGACAATAAACGAATAAATTTGGTTTCAATCATAATAATCAGCCATGGAATTATGTCATAAGAAATACATTGCAAACTTCCAGGCAAAAATGCAAGGCTGATTCCCAAATGAAATACTAAGTGTTTAGTACCACTGGTTTTGTAATTTTTTTGTCTATATGGAGTGACGTAAAAATCCAATATGGCGTCCGTTTAAAATAAGGAAGTTGATGTCAATATTTCCGCCATTTCGAATAAAATTGTTTCTACGCCCATTGAATTTATCCCATTGAATCTTATAACTTTTATTTGAAACTTTTTGCGATAGCTCTATTTGTTACTAAAAATTTGAACTTTATGGCAATTTTCATTTTTTCTTATCTACTGCGAAAAGGGAATCGTCACAAAAAAGGACAACATTTCAAGGAATTACCAAATATTCAACGGAACTGGTTGTGTTAGCGGGAGATCTTTGAGTAACTTTTATTATCTACACTAGCAAAACGTAATTGCACTTTTTTAAACTAACAAATAACAATGCTATTGTAATTAGGTTGATCCTTAATTTTAAACCACTCGTGCGAATTCGAGTGCAAAACTATCCCAGATTCCCTCTGGGAAATCATCATCACTTCTTGCGAGGCACTCGCTTGGTTTTGTCTTTGGAACTATACAAACGGGACCGCCGACCTTGGGAAATATCCACTGTGGAACGTTTATATTAAAGGCACCACTCCACTGTATTATTTTATCCAGGCATGCGCATTGCAAAGGATTTTCGGTTATGTCAAGTTCCGATAATTGGGGTCCTATTGCGTTTAACACTTCATCCGATATGTACGTTATGTTATTATTTGGAATAAGAACCCTAACCGATTTCGAAGAGGTGTATAAATTAAAGTCAAAACTTTTTAATTTGTTATTAGCCATAAACAAAGTTATCAAATTTCGTAAGCCTATAAAGGCGTCTTTATGGATGAATTCTATTTTATTTCTTTGCAACCGTAGTATCTTAATAGATGGAAGGTTGATAAAGGCAGCCCGCGGAATTTTACGCAAGCGATTCTTTTTCAAATTTAAGACTTGAAGAACCGGCGTTTTATAAAACCAGGATTGGTCAAAGTTTTCCAGTTTGTTTTCCGCAAGAGACACCTCTGTTAAGTTTGGAAGATTATTAAAAGCACGTGGCGACACATCTGTGATGTTATTCATCGCCACCCTCACTTCAGTTAAGGACGGCAAATCTTGAAATGCATTCTCACTAATCCAGAAGAGTTTGTTATTCCAGAAAATTATTTTGTAAAGTTTGAGAAGATCCAAAAAGGCCCCTTCTCTTATAATCTCGATGCCGGTATTTTGAAAAAGGATACTAAATTTGCTTGAAACTCGTTGAACTGCACCGTAATTTAAATCTTGTATATCTTGATCTGTTACCTGTATATCAGAAATTTCACCGTTGAATTGAATGGTGTCAGGTGAAATACAACCACTTATTGTTCGATTATGAATAAAATTTACTTGTATTATGTTGTTGTTGAAAGTAGGCACTTCACATTCCATCGACATTTTTATAAAGAACATTATCAAGCACGTTGTGTACATGGCGAGGCGCTTGGAAACTATGTATCTCTCTTGACGATAAGCTATTTTATCATATTGGGGAAATTGTAAGGTTAAAGGGTATCCAATATCTCGCTGAGACAACTAAAAGCTGACGGAAGCTTTATTATACAGGGTGCTCATTATGTATGGAATATAGTGTACAGGGTGTTTCATAATTGAATGTCAATATTTAAGGGGGCGATTTTTGGGTCCATTTTAAAAAGAAAACTTCATATGAACCTATATCCTAAACGCCTTAACTTTTGAGATACAGGGTGGTAAAGTTTTCAAAAATAAATCATTTATTATTAATATCTGTAATACCACTTTAGATATTTTAATGAAATTTGACATGTATGTACTATGTATCCAGAGGCATTTTTTAACGTACCACATTTATTTAATTTCCAGCAGTGGCGTTCGTACGGAATTTCACATGCAGACATTGATGGTACGCCACTGATTTCTCTGAAAATAAAAATTATTCTTGAAATCCCCGGTCATTTATAAGCAAATTTGATTTGTTTTTTTCAACCGATGCACGGTTTACGCTTTAAAAAATAAAAACCGTTTCTCCGCATGAAAATATTCCTTTATACGTGCTTCTTTCATACATCCAATCAAAATATTAATCAAACCCTTGCCCATTTCTCTCAACGCGTGCTTGGTGTCATTTTCGCTTCTTTCAGGATAGGATAAAGGTTATTTTTTTTCCAAAGAAAAAGTAGAGGGGGTATAAGTTTGGATGCAGTGGTCCAATTTTAAAAATTCTAGTCTTTTTGGGTTCTACAGAACATCAAATTTCCTCTTCCTGGAGGGGTATTCCGTACATTCTCTCCCAAAATGTTATTGGTATTATCTCCCACACAAATACGCGTTGACGATCCTATAGATAGATCTTGGTTTAAAATGTCGACGTACAGGAAGATAAAAAGCAAAATCAAAGAATCGAGTTTTATGGAATTATAATTTAAAAGGTGTCCCAAAATATACACAAGAAGTAACTTTAGTGGAAATCATAGGTTTAATTAATAATGGCGATTTTTCTATTGATTCATACACGATATGGTTATGTGCTAAGCCTTAAAGAATACCATATCGGGTAAGTGACCTTCGCGACTCTGCTGGCACATATGAAATCTTCAGTAAATGTGTCGGAATTCCAAGAGCTCGGCTCGCTCTCAGAATTCCATCGGGCGTGAGGCGATCCTGCCCCTCTGCGTTCTACATGAGTCCAAAAACGTGGAAATCGCACGGCGACATGTTAACCATGGTGGCAAACTCATCATCTGTGATGTAGGTATCTGTTGGCCTTTTACACCCTCACCGATGCGAGCAATGCACTACTCCATAATCTGCACATTGGGTTATCTTGATCATATTTTGTCGTACAAGGACTCGCGTCCTTCCCAGAACCCTTCTGACCACGTTTGACTGTAGTGTACCTGAAACTGACTTCGACCCTGTACTGTACCCATCTCATCAACTTCCAGAATTTCAACTAAATTTTTAATTATCAGTCGGTAAACGCATTAAAACGACATTTCACGTTGGAAACTATGACATAACTCCTACTATAAGGACTGCATTGCCCTATGTTCCCTATACTGTAAAGTCAAGGTGAGACGGACTATACCATATTTAATAATACTATGTGATCAAAAATGACTTGCTGTCGAGTCGCCTTTGGAATTTTTGTTTACATGGGAAATCGTACTTAACTTGGAACTTCCAAAGGCGACTCGATAGCAACTCATTGCCTGTTAGTTATTTATTATATAAGATCAGCCTGCTTTGATTTTTGTTATAAACATTAGTTCAAAAGTATTGCATGCTAATGAAAAAAATCAAAGTAGGCTGATTTGTATGGAAATTGAAAGTCTTCCTTTTAAATCTGCTCAAATAAAGACAGTTTACACTTTACTCATTTTTAGAATTCGGCAAAAAAAAACACTGTAGATTAATTAATTTGGTTCATTTTTTTAATATCTTAGTTTGAGACTAATCAGGAGCGATCCTCAGAACATAACGATCCAAAAAAATTCATGTACATTTTATATGCCTTAATCCGTGGACACACTGTATGAGTTTTTAGCGCCGTGGCTGTTTTTCAAATAGTATCCCACATTTCTTTAATTAAGGGGCGAAGTTTTCGAGTGGTTACCCATTACAGTACGAGTACTTCCGGAAGCGACGTTGCTTGATTGTAGGCACGGGAACGTATAATAAAAATCGTAAAAAAGTAACACTTTCTATCCGATTTTTTGACAAAAAAAAGTCCGTTAATTTTATCATCATGCAACAAATTTATATTTCGGTACCTATAAAACAGCCGGTTGCAGGTCTAGTGCAATTTTAGCAACCACTGGCAACTACAGTGACCATATACAGGGTGTAGCATCTAAGACCCCTCGGATCATAATTCCTTTACTGCCAAAGATACCGAAAAGAATCTTACAGCAAAATTGTGTGCAATTACCGCCGGCATGTTTCTAAAATATTTTTGAACACCAGGGGCGTGCTGTATTCCAGAGAACTTGTTTTGGGAGTTTTTAGAAAATCCTATGGATCATCAATCTAAAAGTATTCTAGAAATATTTAAAAGCCTTTAGTTACGTCTGAAAGAGAGCATTCTAGGGAGATGGACTAGCTCACTGAAAGCGAAACTTTAGAAATAGAGCTAAACCTTCGGGTCCATGTTGGTTGGAAGAATTGGAAGAGGACGACAATAAACTCGTTTCCGGACAGTGTAATATTAAAATTAATAGGACGCAACTTCGATCATCACGCCATCTACAACACAACGCACATTAGCGCTTGGTTTAATTTAAATTTCCATGCACCAATTTCCCACAGACATTGATTATTCAGTAATAAAAGAGAGATTACAAAAAGGGAAGTGTCACTCGACGGCGGCGGCATCCATTCAGAATTTCCCGAATGAAAATCCATACGGAACGAAAATGAACAAACGGCAATGACAATAATTATATCCTCTTAAAACTGAAAGGGTTGTCTACCTCAATTTAGTTATTTGGGCCACTGTCACACTTGCCCGCCACTCTCTCCGCCTTATCAAAGAGAAGCACGAAAGCGTCGTAAAATATTTACGGCTGGCATATTCGATTTTTAGAGACTAATTTTTGAGGTACCGCTTTATTTTAATAATCGCACATACAGGGCGTCCGAGTAACGCGGGCATTATTTAGTAGGTACGTGCGTGTCGCCTCGCCGAAAGTTATTTTAGATTGATATATTTAAATACATTTTTAATTAGCGTTTCGTGTCTTTTACTAATTTAGTGTAAATTAAAATTAAGGGTTGACGATGCATTACCCACATTCATACGTGCGTTCTTCCTCTGCTATTTACGTACGTGCGATTTTGTTTATTACTCTAGCTCTTATTTCATTGTTTTGACTTTCCTTTCCCATTTTGCTTGATTTGATATCAACTCCTGTACATCTTCGACAATCCTTTCCATTTCTCTTCTTGTTTCATTTATTTTAATTAATTAAAAAATTCTGAAACCCCTTTTATAAAATTGTTTATTCCACCACTCGTACCGATAACTTCAATCCTAACTTCTGCGCTAACTTTTTACATATGTAATTATTTGCTCCGCTAAATCTCTAAGAACCCCACGTTGGGCGCCACTTGTAACGGTTTAGCTATAGGGTTGACATAAAATAAAAGTGGACATCTACGGCACTGGCCAAAATTTTACTGTGAATTCATTTTTAATTTACCAACGGCTAGCTCAGCAATAACACTTTACTTTGCGGAAATTTGGCGTTTTATCTCCTCCGAAAGTTTGAAATTCAAAACCTAATGCTCTGATTTGATTGAAGTCTAATAAATACGTATGACTTTAGTTGATTGAATATAGGGCGATAACATAAGAATCGAATTAACGGTTAAAGATGGCCGTGGTTCATTAATAAGAAGTCATTTTGTAGGCGATCATTAATCAGCAAGAATAGTAGGGATCTTTACGTGTTTTGATTCATTTGCTGTTATTTAACGCGAGTTTTACAGTTGACAAAATTAATATCTAGGAGAAGATTAAGTGACTGTCTCATTTACTACAATATAAAGGGAATTATCGTGCAGTTTGGAAGAAGAAATTGTGAAATCGTGTTTCTGTCGCATAAAGGAAAGCCTTATTCGCGGTGAAGGACTAACTAATTAAGCGCGCGGGTATATTTCCGGTGAATAAAGAGTCAATGTTAAAAAAATCTGTTTTGCTTCTGAATAATAATTCTACTATTCTATGGTTTTTGTCTTGTGAGGTAGATCTCACCCTTAGACTTTTGTGCGTGTCTTTTTTGAGTTTTTGACTACTGCTCTATGGTTTTTTTGTTGTGGGAGTTCCCTTTAGTGCCAGAATTTTTTGCTTCTGAATAATAATCCTACTATTCTATGGATTTTGTCGTGAGAGGTAGATCTCATCCCCTTAGTTAGAGGCTTAGACCCTTGTGCGAGTCTTTTGCTTTTAATAATAATTTACTGCTCTATGGTTTTTTTAATTGTGGGAGGTAGATCTCGCCCCCTTTAGGGCAAGTCTTTTTTGCTTCTGAATAATAATTCTACTATTCTATGGATTTTGTCGTGGGAGGTAGATCTCATCCCCTTAGACTTAGACCCTTGTACGAGCCTTTTACTTTTGAAAATAATTGTACCACTATTTTTTTTTATTGAGGGAGGTAGATCTCACTCCCCTTAGTGCAAGTTTTTTTTTGCTTATGAATAATGACTATTATTCTATGGTTTTTGCCGTGTGAGGTAGATCTCATCTCCTTAGACCCTTGTGCGTGTCTTTTGCTTTTATTAATAATTCTACTGCTCCATGGTTTTTTTGTTGTGAGAGGTAGAGCTCATTTCCTTTAGTGCCAGAATTTTTTTGCTTCCGAATAATAATTCTACTATTCTATGGTTTGTGTCATAGGAGGCATATCTCATCCCCGTAGATAGACCCTTGTGCGAGTGCGAATCTTAAACCGGCTATGTGTCAG